TTAAAATTTATGATAGAAAATATGGTCACCAAATTTTTTGAATTTTTTTTAAATAATCAAATTTTTTAATTAATATCTAATTAACCAACATTTTTCTATAATTATCAATCTAACCATCAAACAAAAAATATAGATTAAAGAGGAGTTGAATTGACATCTCCTATAATTCTTTTACTTTTTTCAGTTATCTATAAATTTACCTGCGAATTTGGTGTTACTTGTGAATTTTCTGATACGGGTTCAGAGCCCCCTTCAAACCAAAATTTTGCTATTGGGCCTAATGAGGTTGGAGGCCCAATGTTGAGAAAGAGTCAAAGGGCTAGAAAGCAACCCATTTGGATGCAAGACTTTGCCTAAGTGAAATTTCTACAGTGCTGCCGTCACTTTCTATTTTACTTTTTACCTTTTCATTTTAATTATGTACTAGAAGCTTCCACTTGTATTGATCATGTAGCAGCTGTCATGTGATCTGGAAATCTAGGGAATTTGTTAGAATGATTTTCATTTCCTTATAACCATCTTTTACATGAATGAAAGGTAGCCAACAATTTCTCCCAATTTTACATTGGATTCTAACCTCTTTCTTCTTTTCCGGAGTTGCTCTAACTCGAATAGAGCCGATAGGTTAATACCCTGTCATTTTGGTGCTTTCATTCACCATGCCTCACGACGATTCTCTTGAAATAACACCAGAAGATGTGTTAGCTCAGATGAAAGAAATGCAACTGGCTTTTGAACGGAAATATACAGTAATGGCAACCGAAATTGCATCTCTCCGAGAGCAAGTCGTTAACCACAAACCTTCAGGTAGTGGTTTCGTCCCTCCCACTCCTGTTCCCAAAGCGGCCAAGGTACGATTGTCTCCGTTTGATGGTTCCAACCCTCTTGAGTGGATATTTCAAGCATAACAGTATTTCGACCTCACGAACACGCCAAACACTCAAAGGCTCGCCTTGGTTCCGTTCTTCATGCAAGGCCTAGCTCTTGGGTGGTTCAAATGGCTTCACTCCACTCAACAACTCTCGACGTGGTCGGTTTTCACTCGCACGTTAGAGTTACGTTTTGGCCCTTCCTCTTATGTTAATCATCAAGCAACATTGTTTAAGCTTCGTCAAGTCGGCACCGTGACGAAGTACCAACTACAATTTGAGACGATTTCCAATCGGGTGTTAGGTCTTTCAACCAAATCTTTGCTTAATTGTTTCATTTCAGGGTTACGTGCCGACATTCAACGTGAGCTTGCAATTTTACAACCTCACTCCATTACTCAAGCAATTGGGTTGGCGAAGTTGGTTGAGGCAAAAATTCTAGATTCTAAACCTTCTTATGCAAGACCGCCACGAAGTGCCAGCTCTCCCTCGTTGCTTGGTTCTGCAGGAAACGCTCTGCCGTCTTCTATACCTATTCGCCGGTTATCCCCTACTAAAATGCAAGAGCGGCGTAGCAGAGGGCTTTGTTTTAATTGCGATGACAAGTTCAGCCCTGGTCACCGTTGTCAGAAAAAGCAATATCTCCTGCTTTTGGCGGAGGAGGAGCCGCCTTCAGAGCCATCAACTCTGCTGCAGTTAGACTCTGCGTTGCTCGATCAACAGGTTGAACCTGTTGTTATACCGGTGGTGGAGGAACTGAATCAGAGTGCTGAACACTTTCAGCTTTCCCGAGCAGCGCTATTAGGTCCACCCTCTCCAAAAACTATGCGTGTGAATGGTAACATTAAGGAGTTGGGGGTTACAATTCTAATTGATTCAAGAAGCTCTCACAACATTATGCAACCCAGGATTGCTGAGTTTTTGGGCATTCTAGTTGTGGCACACACTCCCTTTTCGGTGATTGTGGGCAATGGAGATTCCATTCAATGTAATCGGTGTTCTCAAGACGTGCAGGTGAGAATTGTTGAACAAGATTTCCATATCTCATTCTTTATATTGCCTATTCATGGAGCAGACTTTGTCTTAGGAGTTCAATGGTTACAAACTTTGGGTTCTTTTCTGTCTGACTATTCGATTCCGTCCATCCAATTTACCTATAACAACAAACCGATCACCCTCACCGGCTCTACTTCTATGACCCCTACTGCGGCATCTTATGCTCAGTTTTATAGGTTTATGTTCACCCAAGCCATTGACTCTATCCATTCACTTCACCTTACCTCCTTTGATAAACCTGATTCAAACACCACAACCAAACCAGAGTACCTAGTCAACAGTAACATTGACCCTGCCCTTAAAGACTTACTTCACCAGTATGCCACCATCTTTGACACCCCTCAAGGCCTTCCCCCAGATAGACACCAAAATCATCATATACACATAAACCCAAACACTCACCATGTCAATATAAAACTGTACCGTTACCCGCAATTCCAAAAAGAAATTATGACAAATATGATCCATGACATGCTCCATGAGGGAATCATTAAACCAAGTACCAACCCCTTTTCTTCTCCGGTTTTATTAGTAAAAAATAAAGATGGCACGTGGCAATTTTGTGTGGATTACCGTGCATTAAATGCTATTACGGTTAAGGACCATTTTCCTATTCCCACGGTTGATGAACTTCTTGATGAACTCCATGGCTCCTTTGTTTTTTCTAAGCTAGACTTGCGTTCGGGGTATCACCAAATACTCCTTGCACCAGAAGAAACTTTTAAAACAGCTTTTCGGACCATGGACTGACACTTCGAGTTCTTAGTGATGCCGTTTGGACTCACCAATGCTCCCTCAACTTTTTAGGCTACAATGAACAAGGTGTTTCGACCATTTCTACGCAAGAGTGTGCTTGTTTTTTTTGACGACATACTGGTTTATAGCAAGGATTGGCAGTCCCATTTGCACCATCTCCAACAGGTGTTAGAAATTTTGGTCGAACACAAATTGTTTGCTAAATTCTCCAAATGTGAGTTTGGAGTTAATCAGATTGGTTATCCTGGGCATATTATTTCGGCCGATGGAGTGGCAGCTGACCCAGAGAAACTACAGGCTATAGCAGTATGGCCCGTGCCTACTTCAGTTACAGCCCTTAGTGGTTTTCTTGGATTGACAGGTTATTACCACCGTTTTGTTCGAGGTTATGCAGCCCTTACTAGTTCCTTAACAGACCTTTTGAAGTCCAAAGGTTTCATTTGGAATGAGCAAGCTGTAGAGGCATTCCAAACACTTAAGGATGCTATGATCCAGTTGCCTACCTTGGCTTTACCCAGTTTCAAACTTTCGTTTGATGTCACCACATATGCTTCTGGTATCGCCATTGGAGCAGTGTTGTCTCAAGCTATTTACCCTTTTGCATTCTTTAGTAAGAAGTTGTGCACACGAATGCAATCAGCATCTGCTTACGAGCGCAAGATGTTTGCGATCACGTCGACTGTGAAGAAATGGCGCCATTACTTACTTGGTCATCATTTCCGCATCTATACAGATCAAAAGAGTTTACGGGGCATGTTCTTACAAACAATCCAAACGCCAGCGCAACAGAAATGGCTCACCAAATTATTGGGTTTTGATTATGAAATACTTTATACTCCAGGGCGCAGTAATGTAGTAGCAGATGCACTGTCCCGAATTCCAGAACCTATAGTGTCAGTATACACTAGTCTGTCAGCAAGTCAGCCACTATTGTTGACATAATTGGTTGATTTTTATGCAAATACCCAGATTAGGCTGGAATTATTGTCTAAATTGATTAGCTCCGGTAGCATACCCATTCACTTTACAATGCAACATGGTCTTCTCTATTTCAAGGGTCGTTTATTCATTCCTTTCGAAGCCAATTTGCGCTCTCATTTGCTACATGAGGCACATGCTTCTGCTGTATGAGGTTATTCCGGGGTCAAAGCGACGATGGCACGTTTGGCAGCCACTTATTATTGGCCTCAAATGATTAAGGATGTCAAGTGTTACGTGCAGAACTGTGCAATCTGTCAACAGTATAAGACATCGACGCAGAAACCAAGCGAACTGCTGAACCCATTACCCATTCCGGGTCAATTTTGGGAAGACATTAGCATGGATTTCATAACTCATTTACCTCCGGTGCAAGGAAAAATGACTGTTTGGGTTGTGGTAGATCGGTTATCCAAGTACGCGCACTTCATAGCACTACCTGTTGCGTTCTCCGCATCTATGCTTGCTGGTGTATTTTTAGCGGAAGTTTACAAGCTTCATGGTATGCCAAAGACTATTGTGAGTGACCGAGACAAGGTTTTTGTGAGAAAATTTTGGCGTGAACTATTTCGTTTACAGGGTACCACCTTAGCTTTTAGCAGTTCCTACCACCCCCAAACAGATGGCCAAACGGAAGTAACCAACCACACTTTGGAGACTTATTTGCGTTGCTTGACTGGGGATACACCAAAATAATGGTTGTTTTACCTGCCGTTGGCAGAGTATTGGTACAACACCACTCACCACTCAGCCATTAAAATGACCCCGTTTGAAGCCGTCTATGGCCACTCTCCTCCCTCCATCCGTTCCTACATCACAAGGTCCACGGTGGTTACATCTCTTAATGAAACCTTGGCAAGACGACACCAGATGTTGTGGCTTATTAAGGAGAACTTGACGTTGGCACAGATGCATATGCGTAATCAGGCCAATGTTCATCGACAAGGTCGTTCTTTTAAAGTCAGTACTTGGGTTTGGCTTCGTCTCCAACCATACCGACAAATCTCAGTTCTGGGAAGAGCTTCACCTAAACTTTCAAAGCGCTATTTTGGACCATTTCAAATTCTACAGCGCCTTGGCCCGATTGCGTATGAGTTAGCATTACCAAACACGGATCGCATTCAACCGGTTTTTCATGTTTCTAAGCTAAAAAAGTATTACGGAAACCCGCCTTTGGTCACTCCTTCTCTGGACCCATCCGTCATAGGCACCCGGGTTGCCCTCCAACCTGCTCAGATTCTTGGAGCTCGCGGGCTGTAAACACCTACGGGAATATGCAAACAATTATTGATTCATTGGGTAGGATTACCTGCCATTGAAGCCACTTGGGAAGAGATCAATATGCTCAAGGAAACTTATCCGAATTTCAACCTTGAGGACAAGGTTGTCGTGGAAGAACAGAGTAATGATACGGGTTCAGAGCCCCCTTCAAACCAAAATTATGCTATTGGGCCTGATGAGGTTAGAGGCCCAGTGTTGAGAAAGAGTAAAAGGGCTAGAAAGCAACCCATTTGGATGCAAGACTTTGCCTAAGTGAAATTTCTATAGTGTTGCCGTCACTTTCTGTTTTACTTTTTACTTTTTCATTTTAATTATGTACTAGAAGCTTCCACTTGTAGTGATCATGTAGCAGTTGTCATATGATCCAGAAATCTAGGGAATTTGTTAGAATGATTTCCATTTCCTTATAACCATCTTTTAAATGAATGAAAGGTAGCCAACAATTTCTCCCAATTTTACATTGGATTCTAACCTCTTTCTTCTTTTCTGGAGTTTCTCTAACTCGAATAGAGCCGATAGGTTAATACCCTATCATTTTCTTGCGGATATTCTTGCGGATTTACCTACAGACATATATGTTCAGATAAATCCGCAAGTAAATCCACCGATAACGTCAAATTCACAGGTAAATCCGCAGGTAAATCGGGAAAAAATAAGAAAAATATAGGAGGCAGCAGTTCAAGTGACGCCTCCTTTTTAATTTTTTTTTGTTTGAAACATGGTTAGATTAGAAATTATGGAGAAAGATTAGTTAATTGGATATTAAAATTGAAAATTTTGATTATTTAAAAAAAAAATTCAAATTTCCTTCATAAAAGTTACTATTAGTTTTTATTTTGTTAGAGTATTGCCTCATATAGAGATTTATATAAAATTTCCATTTATAATGTATATCCAAGTTTTGTTAGAGTATTTCCTCATAAAGCGATTTATATAAAATTGCCATAGCCAAGTTTTGTTGGTATTCCTTAGCAAACACATTCCCAATAATCCTCCCAATGTAAAGAAGAGGGTGAACAATCAAGTAAACATGTATGTTGTGACAAACGCTATCAAGAACGAATCAAAATTATGAGAAAGATTGAGTTTCTTGAATAAACCCAAGAAATCTTATTAGGTTTTACGAAAGAGAGTGAAGAGGGAAAAAGAAGGAAAAAAATCAAGATTGGTTAAAACTGTTTTACTATTCACTTACTCAATTAGGTTACAATGATTACAAATGAATAACAACAATCAACTTCTCTCAACAACCTGAAAGAAACAACCTATTTATAGACTACTAAACTAACTTAAACTACAAGCTAACTTAAACAATTGGACTTACATATAGGTCCAATTCGACATGCTAACAATTCTAGCATTTCGACTACTGCATGCTTAAGCGTACCTCGACTACAACATGCAAGACTTCGACATCAGCATGTGAACAGACTTCGACTTCATGCTTAACCTCTGTCTAACTAAGAAGCTACCCTTGCCAAGACGAGAGTTCGATCCAAAATCTCACAAATCTCCACATTGGAACAAACTCCACAACATCAAGAGAACAAACTAGCTTTTATCATGCAACTTTATCAATTGCATACAGTGGAAAAACTTGCAGTTTGGCAATGTCTTTGTGATCATCATATCAACATCATTATCTAGTCAAAACCTGCAACGCCTGAACTTCTCCATGCTCGATTATTTCTTTGCTGAAATGTAGCCTCACATTGATGTGTTTGATTCGCTCATGATAGGTTAAATTCTTCAACATATGTATGCCATTTGACTATCACATTTAACAGTCATAACTCGACCTTGAAGTTTCATCTCCTTAGCAAAACCATCAAGCCATAATCCTTCTTTTATGACTTTAATGAGGGCAGTATATTCCACTTTAATGGTTGATAAGGCAACAACCTTATGAAGTATTGCTTTCCAACTGATTTTTATGCTAAACATAGTGAACACATATCCAGAAATAGATTTTCTAAAATTCATACAACCTGCATAATCAGAGTCAACATATCTTTCGATTTCTACTTTGTTATCACCACCGCATGCTCCATCATAAATCAAGACTCTGCTCAGAGACTCGTTTATGTACCTTAGAATCAACTTCAATGCTTTCCAGTGTGTCTTTCCATGATTGGCCATATATACTGCTTACAAGATTCACTCTGTAGGCTATGTTTGGCCTCGCACAGACCATAGCATACATCAAAGAACCTATTATACTATCATATGGAATACTATTCATATAGGCTCTTTGGACTTCAATATTCGAACTTCGAGTCGTACTTAGCTTGAGTTGAGGATTAGTCAGTGTCACAACAGACTTTGAATTCGACATATCAAATTATCGAAAATCTTCCTTAGGTATTTCTTTTGAGATAAGTCAAATTGTTTAAATACAAAGATTATGCTTTATATGTTTATCTAACATCTAAGCATTTTGACTATATCGACTAAATTTATAGAATATATTTTATCTTTCAAAAATACATTAACAATGATGAAATAGATGTAAAGATCGCAGGAAAAATATATAAAGTATTCTATAATGTTTATAAAATTAATATATATTAAAGTTATTAGTAATTAGTTGTTAAGTTAACAAATTTTTTGTAGTTGTCAGATTTTGAATCGATGACTTCTAATAGAGAATAAACCTTTTTGAAAAGTGAACGTGATTTTTTAGAGATCCCATGTAGGAATATATTTGACGTGGAAATTTTAGAAGACATGGATGATGAGGTACCAATGCAAGAATCAACGACCTTGATTTAATATATTATAATAGATTATATTATATAATATGTATTAAATAATGAAGTTTTTTAAAAAAAGTAGGAAGTGAAGTTTACCTCAAGGGTTGCGAGGTGTGAGAGAGGTTGGTAGGAGAGGAATACGATGACGAGGGAAAGAAATTCAAGAGGCATAATGATGAGAATTGAGAGTTGAGTTTTGGTTCTGAGAGAAAATGGAAAGAAAAGAGTAGTGAAATAGTAAAAGTATTAAATTATAGTATAAATTACACGATCTAAGAGTGTGTTTCAAGTTAAAACTTTCTCAAAGGATCATACTGAGCTCTAAGAACTTGTTTTAGATTGTAGAACATATTTTTTCAATTTTGACACCGTGATTAAAAAAGAAGAGTTTAGAAAACTGGGAGATTGATCAACACACGTTTTCTCTTGAATGTAATCGTCCATGAACACTCTCTTTACATCCATTTGAATGATATTTGAAATTCAAAATGCATAGAAAGTTAAAAAAACCTCATTAAGCCCTATAATCTAGCTTTGAAATCTACGCCTATGTTAATTGTATCATTTTGTAATGATTTTTCTTTATTTATTAAAACATATTAGTCAACTTTGTTGTGAAAAACTCGTTTGGTTATGTTTTATATTGGAACTAGAGTCGAGTGAAAAGTGAGGATGTGGAGCATGTGTGGTGGTACTGAGCTTCCGATACGATGGAGATGAGGTGATTATGTGAATGGGAACATATCTGAATACTTGAGAATTGACGTGTTTTCCTCTTTAAAAATGAGGAATGGTTTGAAATTGAATACGTGTGATGAGGCATGAATTGTAATAAACATTTAGACTAACCTGGACATTTGACAAGGCACCCACGTAAGGGATTGATTGAATGATGGAGAAAAAATAGTTCACTTGTTATGACATTAATGTTTCATTTCTTTTTTATGAGGCATTTACTTTTTGGGCCCTGTGCGTGGCCTGGAACAATTACCCCCTAAGCATTGTCTTTGCTATGCAAGACGAGGATTTATGACATATACTCTTACTCGAACCCAAAATCAATGGACATGGTAGACTTTGATGGGATGTCGTTCTTGGGAATAGTTGCATTAAATGCATTTTTTGTAAGTAACATTTCACAATGAGTGATATACATGTCTCCTTATGCTAACCGATAATGACATTTCCTCTTCCTTAAAGTACTCAAGTGATTTTGAACAATTTTTTTAGGAGATCTCATTTTTTGGTTGTGGGTGGTGATCTTACAATCCTCAATGGATGAACGGGGCATAAGAGGCTTCTAAAGCCCCATTTTGGTCTTTTTATGCCATTGATGATTTGCAAAGAGTCCTTTCTTCTTCCTTAGTTATTTTCTTTGCGAGATTACTTGCTTCAGTGTTTGATCATGTTTGTACAATTTTGTTCGTTAATACAAGTCATGCATGTTTGATTGCTCCATCTTTTTTAAGAAAAAAATCTAACGTTTCTCTTACTTTTGCTACATGTTTTCTAGGGTTTTCCAAAATAGTAAACGCAAAGTCTCTTCTCTTCTCCTTTGGAGAATTTCTTATGTTGCTTGTCTTTTCTTCCAAGGGCAACGATGTTTGCAAACTTCATCATATTTCTCCCGCGAGGGTGCTTTGGATTATACTTCAATTGATGTGGGTTCTTTGTCTGATTAAAGAGTATTCCCTCCCAATGAAGATAAGAGGGTATGACCCCAATACGACGTGTGTCATTCCCTTCCATGAGTGTGTATTTACACATAGGTTTTCGCCTTCCTATCAAGAGAAGTTTGACAGTAGAAAATTGCAGTCGATCCAAAAAATGACACCTATGTTTTGTGCTTTAACTAAAGTTAATTAGAAAGTATGGATTCTGAGTATTGGTTGATTCAAAGCTTCTAATGCGATGAAGAGGGGGCTGAAGTTAACACTAACGCTTAAGTCAATACGAGAGTGAAATGTGAAATTTTGATTGAGAAAGGATTTGAATACATGTGAAGTGACACACTTTCAACTTTAAATGGGAGAAATAGTTGATAATTACACGTGTTTAGAACAATGTAGGATGCAATCAATTGTTAGATTGATCTAGATGGTTGACAAAACACTCTTATAAAAGATTTACAGGTTCTTTGTCAAATGCTTCGTTATTAGACTTTTACCTCTTTGGGCCTTCTCAAAAGTTAAATTTATATGACAATATAGTGAGACTCGAAACTCTATTTCAATTCCCAAAGAACAAAAAAGACTTTTCTTATAGTATTTAATTTCTAATTATGAACATGAACGTGTTAAAAGAAAATGTAGGTTGGATTTTGAAACGAAAAACCTTTTAATTTATTATTATGGGGCCAAGAAAGAAAATATTAGTATACGCCAAGATGCAAGCTCAATTCCTATGATTGATAACTGTTTTAATTTTATTCTTTTGCAGATGTTTGAGTTTGTTAAAGCAAGAAAAAAAATGACATTTTATTAATTTTTATGGTTGGTCAAGAGAAATAAGAAAGTGAATAAAAGTTATTTGAACGAGTCTAACCATTTTTGTTAATATATTGTAGTTTGAACTTTATTAATATTATAGTTACATTGTGTTGTTTATTATTCTATTTTTTATTGTTTGTATAAGTTATGTTTTGGAAAGGTGATTTGTCGTGTAGTCGACAGAGTGAGAGACACAACGAACCATCTTTATGAAATTAAATTCTATTACAAACAATAAAAAATAGAACATACTATCATTAATAATATTAAATGATCAAACCATAATATATCAGCAAACTTCAAACTACAATACATTAACAAAATTAGAGTCTTATTTAAATAATTTTATCCTTTTTATATTATATTTTTAATATATTCGAATGTGTCATCAACCATAAAAATTAATAAAATATCACCTTTACATGTTTTAATAAAACTCATACATACACACAAAAGAACAATAAAACATTTTCAGAAATTGGGCTAGCATTAGACTTATACTTATATTTTCTGCCTTGAACTTACAATACATTATTACAAGGTGAACTTGAACAAGATGAATAAGACGAAAACTCTTTCACTTTTCACTGGCTCCAATGAACTTGAAGGAGGTTTGTTTCATTCTTATAGATAGATTTCATTTTATCATAGATATTATTTCTCTATAATTAGCCTCGTATCTTCTTCTTCAAAAGTTATACTCACAGTAAGCATTACATATAACTTAGTTTTGTTGATTATATTCTGCCCGCCAAGTATTTGATGAATTGTTTGATTATACTGTGTTTGTAAATGGTTATTTTTGTTCATGCATTGGCCATGGCATCAGTATCGAATTGTTGTTGTTACCGCCGTTTTGCAACTTGCACACTAGGTGTTTGATAAATTGTCTCAACTGAGTTTTTTTCCTTTTTCGTGTATGTTTCTTACGAATTATGGTACTGAATTGTTGTTATTGATTGTTTCACTTGTTGAACTTGTGAACAAAAGAAAGAAGTATTGAAGCAAGCTCTTTTATTCCGGAGTCATATCCGCCATGTGATACTGTCGAGAATCGAGATTTTGAAGCAAGCTCTTTTCAACAACAAAGTGAGTTACAACTTACAAGGTTGGATTCAGTTGCTTTTCAGAAAATGTACTTACTTTTGTTGATTTTATATAAATTATGATCTTCTTAATTCATAACTAATATGAATGAGAGAGATATTTGTTAAGCATACTCCTAATTCTTAAAGACACCCTGTCTGAAAACTCTAGTTTTAATGGTTTGTCATTTTTAATTTTTAAAATTTTAAAAAGAACTCAATATTTTATTGGTTTCAAAAAATCTACTTTTCTTTTTTATTTATTTCCAGGTGATATATTTTGATGGAATGCTGATGAACTCTCCAATTGTGTCTCATTGTTTGCTTTATACTCTTAAAGTGCTGAAGTTTAAAAAACCTGTTTGTCATATGCGTGGATTAAGTATTGCCAAATATATTTTAGAAAATGGTCAGGTATTGGAGAGGATTAAGTTTTGCCTCTGTTCTAAGGAAGCTCAAGAGGATGTACTTTCATTTAAGAAATGTTCTAGTTCAGTGATTTTAGAATTTTTATCTGAGCTATAAAAACATCATTTGAGGAAGCTTTTTTTAAGATTGATAAAAAAAAGGAGTACAATTTTATTGGGAGAATGTATGTAATTGTTACATGTAGTTATAGAAATCGAGTTTAAGAAATGAGAAAACTTACTGAAAGAACTATATTTTGTTTATACATATGATTTTTATGTCACTGACTAATCAAGTTACAACGGAATTATAGTAATCAAGTGGAAGCATGGTGCGTGAGACGAGAAATACGAACTTAACAATATTAACATGTCTTGTAGAATACAAACCTATAAAATATCTTCTACATTCTATCATGTTTTATAATAGTATTGTCAGTATTAACACTTTATCCTCCATGGATGTATTAACACTATATTCTATATACTTTGATTCATTATGAGGAGAGCAAGAACTCTGCAAGTTTGGGAGTATCTAGAAGATTTGGTTGTCCAGCCAATCACCTTCATATCCTACTCAACTCCCAAGATTTGGTGGTGGTGTTGTTCTTGTGCAGCAAGTATTATGTAGTTCACTGTCCCACATCGAAAACTTTTATGCAATTGAAAGAGTTTATATAATTCATTTACACGGCATATTTTAAAAAATAATGTATTATATAATAGGAGATTGGCCTTACATGATATTTTAATAACTGAATTATAAATACTACTAAAAATAAAATTAATAAAAGAAGTTTTTTAAAAATAAAATAAAAAATAAAATTAATAAAAGAAGTTTTTTAATAAATTAAATAAAAAATAATGAATATCCGCAAGGCAATAATAGTTTTAATCAAAAATAAAATAAAAATCTACTTGGATTGCCCCTAATAGAGGAATTTTACAAAAAAAAACTTTACAAGAAACTGTATCACAAATGTAATTTAATCAAAAATATAATTAGAACCATAACTCCTTATTTATAAGAATCACTTTTGGTATCTACACAATAATTTTTATGAAAATTATATCCTTAACCACAAACCTTATATCTAATTAAATAGTAGTCTTAACACATTAATTTATTATATTTGTAAAACAAAAAATTCTTATAGGCAGTTGACTCTACTATTCACGTAATCCTAATAGTCTTCTTTATTGAGTCTTATTATTGGTCCAATAAAGAAGATCTTAGTCAGGATTAGATATTCATTCATTCATTTATTTTTGTACTTGAACTCTGATTGTTTTTATTCTTACTTTGACATCGGAGTATCTTACATATACACTCCACTTCATTTTCAACCATCATTCGACTCAAATTTGTGAACCATTAACGATCATTTCTCATCAAGTACGATCTAAATATCAAATCATAAAGTTAATGCTCCTAACAAACTATTATCACATGTATAATAATATAAGTAGGTTGCCTTCTCAAATTTGTTACAAACACTTGCATATTCATAGCGGCATGCAATTTATTCTTTTATTCTCTCTTCTAAGTGCAGCTTCTATCCTTTCTTAAAGATCGGTCGTGAAGAAATAAGATTTGCAAGGTAAGAAAAGAATTCTCTAACTTTTAAATGGAAAAGTTAGGCTAGAATAATTTTAGACGAGGGTAATTTTAAGTGAAATAAAAAAATAAAAAAATAAAAAAATAAAAAAATAAATGAGAAAAAGATAGAGAGAAAGTTATTGAAAAGTAAAAAAAAAAGTTTAAAGTTAGAAGATCAAAACCATTGCAAGAGGGTAAACAATAGAAAAATTAACTCAAATGTTTTAATGTGCAAAAAAAATTATAATGAATACTATTAAACACTTCTTTGTAATTAAAAAATAAAAACAAAACAACTACAATCTCAAATTAATTTTTGTCAGTTGTAAATTTATCATTTATAAAATAAAATTATATAATCGATACCTTCTAGTTATACTATAGATTGAAAACTTCAATACATATGAAATAAAATAAGTAAATCATTTTAAAAAATATATTTTATTTGTAATACATTGAAAAATAAAAATATCATTTTTTTAAAATTAATTTAATCAATAATTTAAAAATCGGATCAGTCATCAAACTGGTGAAGATATTGGGTCAATCACTAGTCGAACCTGTAAGTCTAAGAGTGCCTAAGAGGGGGGGTGAATTAGGTATATAAAATTTATTCGGTTTTATGAGAATACTTGTAGTAATTTGTGGTTAAGTGTTTGAAGGTGTTTGATTATATCTTATCTTTTCTTGATTATGGTGATGAAAACGATAAAAGCGGAAAAGTAAAGAACACGGCGATATATCCTGGTTCCCCTCACAATCCGAGAGTACTCCAGTCCCCTTTCCAACACGAAAGAGATTTCACTATAGTTTAGAATGATTGTACAGCCTATGCTTACTATCTAATCTATAGGGTGACCAAAGGTTCTTAACACCTTTAAGGTCAACCAAACACTAATGTGAATGAAGAACAATCCTCTTCAAATCACAACACTTACTTCCAACAATCCTGGATAGTAAGAGAATACTTTCTTTTTGTAATACAATGATTTATTTGAAAGAGATGGAGAGCACTATCAATCTTTGATTGATCTTCTTCTTCAAGAAAGAAACAATTCTCAAGCAATGATTATAAATGTTCACAATGAATGTATGAAACTTGTAATGATTTCTTAATGAAGATGTATATGGCAAGTTTCACAAAATTTATGATTTGTAAGAACACTTGAAAGTTTGTAAGAATATGCAAATTTGAATGATGAAAATTGTTAATTGAAGAAGGTTATTTGAATTTGAAGATCTGCACAATTTATAATGTCACAAATACCTCTTCATTCATGCCATTTGATATGAAAAGATACAATGCAATCATGAAAGAATATCATTTGAATTATGTTCAAAAAACAAAAGAAAATTTGTACTGGTTCGCTGGGAACCGGTTCCGACCCAAGCAGAACCCGGTTCCTAGTGAACGTTATAACCCAGAATTCAAAAATAACACGCAGGAACTGGTTCCCCTATAGGTACAATCCGGTTCCTGGTACAAATTCCAGGGAAGTGTTTTTTGAACAAGTTTGGAACCCGGTTCCCTGTTAGGTAGGAACCGGTTCCTGAAAGTTTATTTTCAAAAAAATCCTTTTGAAAAAGATTTCAAACATAGTTTTTCTTATTGTTAAAAATGTGGGATATGTATATGATTATGAATGCATATTTGTGAACATCTATATTCAAGTTTAAGAATTATTTATACCTTTTGACATTTGTTGTTTCTTTAATAATTCTTCTTCTAATCTTCAAGACTTGTAACAAGGTTTTATATGATATTGATAAACTTTTTGCACATCCTTTGAATGTTGATATCCATGTTTGTAAGTGCCTTCGTTTAGGATTGGCTCATTTCATGTAAAACAAATAGTAACAACAATAATGTAATGTAATGTACAATAGGAACAGCCTGAAAATCCTATTGTAAATGCCTAAACATGTTGTGTTGATCAAACATCTGGAACAACATGTCTCAAGAGATGTCATAACATCATACCAGACATCAAGCTACTGAACTGTCAAGTCTGATGCAGTTCTGTTCCTGAAGTTATGCAGAATATTCTGCCAAATAGAATGCATAACAAGTAGCGAAAATTGAAGGCATATGTGGAGCCCTAGAAGATTCAATCAGAAGCTAAGGATAAGGAGAAAAGGTCGACTGAAGACCTAACTTACAGCAGAAGTTTTCTGCTTACTTTATGCAGGTCGTTAAAGCTGCATTGCTGTCATATGAAGGCCCAAAATCCAGTTAGGTAAAAAGGGTTATAAATAGAAGTATTGTAACCTAATTTGAGGAGGTCGCGGATTGACAAGATGTAATCATTTAGGGCTAGTTTTGTTGTGAACCACCCAGGCTGTGGGATGGTCACCATACTCCTTGAAACCTGTAGGTTAGAGGATGTATGCATTGTACTTGATTGAAGCTTTTAAGCATGATCAAGATGTGTAATGGAAGTGTATCTTCTGAACAGTTTATGTACTGTAGAAAGTTATCACTGTGGTGATTGAGGGGGAGTGAGAGGGGTCTCATATCTAGGATTGGATCTTAGGTAAAAGTGTCATTGGGTAGTGATTAAGTGAGAAGGCTGTCAACGGGTGTGTTGGCTGTAGGGTCTTTGAATTGATACTACTAATAGTGAACTTTATCCCTGGCTTGGAAGCCTCCAGATGTAGGTTGGTTGAACCGAACTGGGTGAACAATTCTGTGTGTTATTTACTTCCTGCATTGGTTATTTGTTTGATGTCACAGCATTCCTCATGACATCAATGTATATGATTAACCTTAACTGCTCTGAACTTCAGTAAATCAGAACCTACGTTTGTCAAAAGGTGTTGCAGGTTCTGGTATGATAGTTCAGTGACTGTTGTAGAACAGATATCAAAATTACAGCCTATTCTACCTGTACAACGCTTAACGTCAGATCAGATGTCTTAACATTCCATTAGACATCCTGAGTCTGTGACATACCAGGAATTTCAATTGGTATCAGAGCAGGCATCCTGTCTGTCTCTGGATGAGATCCATGGGGGATACTTTCCTGTTGTGTACAAGGTAGAATATTGTTTGAACCAGTAGTGTTCATATTGTTTGGTCCCTAGGAGTGGAGGATGGACCAATTTGGGAGAAACTAGATCAATCTGATTAGCTATGTTGAAGGAAGGTGAAAATGTTTGAACAAATTCAGAAACCTCATGCGGGAGTGAAGATTTTGGAGAGCATTGTTCAACCTATATTCAGTACAGAAGAAGAATATTATCAAAACCTTCATGCGGGAGTGAAGA